CACTAACACTGCCAGACACCTGATATGTTCTTTGTCCTCAGCCCTGCTTCCTTCAAGATTGCTGAAGGCCCACTTTCTTCAGACGTTCCTCGTCCCCACCTCTTCCCTCTGAGATTTCCTCCATTTTACATTGTATGTCCAATTGTCTGCATGCTGTCAGCCCCATTCAACTGTGAGTTTCATGAGGACAGGAATTGTCTTTTACTTTTCGTTGTTATCTTCAGAATTGAACACAAGAGTACATAGTAGGTGTTTAATAAGTGCTGTCCCACTACCCCCAAGGCCTCATCTCATGACTCCCTGCCACGAAGTCTACACAACTAACTATCCCTCAGAAATGCCCCATTCCTTTCTGACTGTGGCTTTCTTACCAGGTTTCCTGGATGTTCAATGCACTCCCCTTCCCCTGTAACCCTTTAAAGACCAACTGAAAAGTCACCTCCTCACAAAAACACATCCCCCTCCCCCCCACACACACACATCCTCACCACTGATAAAGGCAACACCTTTAGAGGATGAGTTAAGAAAGCCCAGCCTAGAAGACAGCTGGCAGGTTTGCTAAACTCAAGCCATTGGCAAGAAACATCCAAGCAACTCTGGTATGTGTGATCTAGCCTCCACTCAGGACTTTGTTGGGGTGGGGGTGGGGGGCTGGGAGGTGAAGAATTTAGAGTGAGAAGGGACTTTAAAGATCTTTTAGCCTGACCCTCTCTGCCCACCCCCATTTTATAGAAGATGTAGAACACTTATCCTGCATCAAGGTATATTACAGCTATCAGTGCTGGGGGGGTCTATCTGCCCACTAGATTGTAAGCTTCCTAAACACAGGCAGTCTGTCTTGTTTCATTCTATATCTAGTTCCAGAACCCAGCATAGGGTCCCCACCCACAACAAACACTGAGATGTTTGCTGAATTAATCCACACTTCCCTCACAGGCCCTGTTAACTAATCAATAAAAGCATTCATTAAGCACCTATTACTTGCCAGGCACTGTGTTATATGCGCAGGATAGAGAGAAAAGAGATAGTGCTTGCCCACAAGGAGCTTACATTCCTCTAAGAGGAAAACCAGACACATATGTGCAGATTTATATGTAGGTAGAAATAGATATGTACACATGTATGTATGCGTATAGTATCTCCACAGTTCTCTCTCCCACACCCACATAAACTCAAAATAAAGGTGTTTCTGTTTTAAAGACTACCTTTCTGTATTGCACCTTGCTTGAAATTGAATTCAGGCTTGTCTCAGAAACTGTGAAATTCAATGTACCTCTCTCTCTCTCTCTCTCTCTCTCTCTCTCTCTCTCTCTCTCTCTCTCTCTCTCTCTCTCTTTCTCTCTCTCTCTCCATATGTGTGTGTGTGTGTGTGTGTGTGTGTGTGTGTGTGTGTGTGTGTAGGGGAAGGGGGATGTGTTTCTGTGAGGAGGTGACTTTTCAGTTGGTCTTTAAAGGGTTACAGAGGAAGGGGAGTGCATTGAATGTGTGTGTGTGTGTGCATGTACACACACATACATATGTGGGTGTGTATATACACACATACTTGCAATACTTTCCATGTACCTCTCCCACAGAGGCTATAAACATTGTTATCGTATCTTTAAGAAACAATGGAATTGGGGCAGCTAGGTGGCGTAGTGAATAGAGCATCCAGCCCTGGAGTCAGGAGGACCTGAGTTCAAACCCAGTCTCAGACACATAACACTCACTAACTGTGTGACTCTGGGCAAGTCACTTAACCCCAATTGCCTCACCAAAGGAAAAAAAAATGGAATTTTGGATAATGACAGTCTGACTGTCATTCTATGAGGAATAGATGAGGAGACCTAGAGTTTAACTGCCATTCTGGAGAGATTGTTGAGACAGTTGAAGAAATGACAAAGAAAAAAGGACTAGGAGAATTTATTTCTGAGAGAATTGCATTTAACCCTTATTGTGTAAGAAGAGAAGTCTTGAAAACAGATGTGAATTGGTATTCTGAGAGTACTGAATGGTGGAGGATGTTTCCAGAATTGAGGAGAAGGCAACAGTTGTAGTGATGATCCAAAGTGACTTTGACTGTGATCTCTCACAGTCGATATATTATAAATAATTATTTGTCATTGTTTTGTTGTTTGTTACACTGTTAATAAATTAATTTTTGCTCATTCTAGGGTGTTGGGGGAGATAGAGAGACAGACAGACAGACAGACAGACAGGCAGGCAGGTCTCCTCCAAGAGCTGTCTTTCTCAGACTCTCTTGCTAGTAGGTTCATTGGCTCAGCTGAGATAGAAATACAAGGGAGCAATGCCAGAGAGCAATGCCTTCTGACCCCAACCCCATTCCCTTCCTACTCTCAAATTGTTCATCATGACACCATTATTATTCCCCACTCTAGGAGAATGGGTCACCAAAATTCCCCTTCAATAGAGGAGTTCAACAGAAAGAAAGGAAAAACCTAACGCTCACTAGAAAAAACCACCAGGACATACATCGCCACCACCACCCCCAAGAAAGTGTGGGTCAGGGCTTCTGGAGGTGGAGGACTTCTCTTGGCCTAGGTCTCTTACCCAGAAATTTGAGAAAGTCTCCCCACTGCATAAAGGCTTGAGAGTATCTCCTAATCTATATCAAGAAGCTGATCTTGTCCAAATTCTTTAGTCCAGTCCATGTCCTCTGCTTCTAGATGCGAGGCTCACCCAGTAGGTGTGTACCAGCTTCCTGGGGAAGCACTGGCCATCAGAACACCACTAGATGTTTTTGTTAAAAACAAAGAAACCTCAGCAAACATCTATTAAGCAACAGTAGCTTAGTGATAGCCCTGCCCTCAAGGTTTCTTCCTCTATTAGATGAGAGGTGGTCAGAAGAGAGGATCTCTAAGGGCCCTGCAAGCCCTAAATGCCATGATCAGACATTGAGGACCACAAATTTAGAGCTGGGAGGGACTGGACAGAGTATCTAGTCTCACCTCTTCATTTTTCAAATGAGGAAACTAAGGGCCAGAAAGAGGCAGTGACCTGATCAAGATTGCCCAGGTAGAAAGTCAGTCCATAAACATTTATTAAGCACCTACTATGTGCAGTCCATACCCTCAAGGAGCTCACAATCTTAATTGGGGAGACAACATGCAAAGAAATATATACAACACCCAAGCTATATATAGGAGAAATGGGAAGTAATCCACAGAGGAGGGCTACTAGGTGGCACAGTGGATTAGAGTGCTGGGCCTACACTCAGGAAGAACTGAGTTCAAATCCAGCTTCAGACACTTACTAGCTTGTATGACCCTGTGCAAGTCACTTAACCCTGTTTGTCTCAGTCTCTTCATCTTAAAATGAGAAGGAAATGGCAAATCTCTCCAGTATCTTTGCCAAGAAATCTGCAAATGGGGTCACAAAGAGTCAGAGATGACTGAAATAATTGAACACCAACAATCAACAGAGGGAAAGGCACTAGAATAAAGAGAGTTCAGAAGGTGGCATCTTCACTGGAATTTGAAGAAAGCCAGGGAAGCCAGGAGTGGAGATGAGGAGGGAGAGTGCAGGCATCGGAGATGGCCAGCCAGAGAAAATACAGGAAGACAAGACCTTTGTACCTCCTGACCTAGTCCCCATCCACTCCAGAAGGATGCTGGACATCAGTAAACCCTGAGGATGCCCCGGCGCCACTGAAACTGCTGTCTCAGGCCAGGCTGGAGGGGCTAAGTGAGGGGAAGAGGAGAGGCCCCACTACAACATCACAAGATCATTCCCATCTCCATCAGGCTTCCACGTTTACAACTGCTCTAAGAAGTAGAGAAGGCAGCTAAGGTCCCACCGCCAAGATTCTACAAAGGAGGAAACACAGACCAAGTGGCTGCCCTGGAGAGCACCTGGGAAGGCTCTGAGCCAGGTCTCCTGACATCAGGCCCCCAGATCTTTCTAGCTACCTCTCACTCTATGTGTCTTTGGGCAAGTCACTTCCCCTCTCAAGAAGCCTCAGTTTCTTTATCTCTTGAATGAGGGCACTTGGACTCAATGAGAGTTCTGAGCTAACTAGCACTGTGTTCTTGCAGTAATGTGAAGGTCCTGTGAGAAAGTGTACTGCTGAACTTCCCAGCTTCAATGTCTTCAATGAGAGGACCATCAAATGGTGAGGGAGAGGCAGTGAGGTCCAGTGGATAGTGGAATCAGGAAGATGAGGGTTTTAAGTCCTGTTTCTGACACATCCTGACTGGGCGACCCCAGGTAGGTGCCTTAACCTCTCTGGGCCCTAAACAACTGTCTAAGACTAGACTGGAAGGGCAATGCTGCTCTGCACAGAGGGAATTCCTTTATGCCACACCTGGAGGTCCTCACCAGGATAAAGGCACAGGTCTGGACCAAGTCTATTCCCCCCACCCACCCCCCACCCCCAACAGTGTAAGAAATAATCATAGAGAGGAAGTGAGCCTGGTGCAGCTGGCTCCCTCAGTCAGGAAGACCTGAGTCCAGAGCCTGCCTCTCACACATGCTACCAGTGAGACTGAACTCTGATTCCAAGCCACAGAAGCTTTCAGTACCCCAGTCTCCCTCTGTCTCTCTGTCTGTCTCTGTCCCTCTCCCTCCCTCTCTTTCTCCTTTTTTTCTCCCCTCTTCCCCTCTTTCTCTTTCCCTTCCCTGGCCTTTCTCCTCTCCTCTTTCTCTCCTCTCCTCTCTCCCTCCCTTTCCCTTTTTCTTCTCTCTTTCCTCCTCCCCTCTTTCTCTCCCTCTCCTTTTCGATAATACCAGACCAGGGATTTCACTGGGGCTCAGAACTCTATGAGGTGGGGGGGGGGGGGAGGAGCGACAACTCTCTAAGACGCTAAGCGACTGAGAACTCAAGACTAGTATCGGCTGAAGGAATTCTCATATTGAGAGTTCGGTGAGGGCCATACAGTGACCATGTTATTATTCCCTGGATTATGGCGCTAGGAATTTAACAAAGCGCTTTCAAAGGGCTGGGTTGGGAGTGGGGAGGGTCTCGGGGGGGGGTTCTTCCTTTGTATTCCCACTTCTTAGCGCAGTGCCTGGCACCAGGTGAGCTAAATGCTTGTTGACGTGCCGACTTTCCTTACAAGAATTCTCTAGGCAAAGTAGTTCCAGGATTATTATTTCCATTTTGCGGAGGGAAAAACTGAGTCCCAGAGAGGGAGAGTTCAGTACCCGAGGGCACACGACTACACTCTGAGCTGTAGGGCTGGGACTGGCTGAACCTGCTCCCCCAGTTCCCTGGGGTGCTTTCCTTTAGAATGGCATTCGGTGCCTCCGGCGGAGAAAGTGCAGGGTGGCCTAAGGAAGGCCGGGCTGGGAGAGCCACAGAGGAAGTAATGAAACGGTTCGGAGTCTGAATGAGTGAAGGACGGCGGGGGTCTGGGGCCGGGGCGCCCAGGGGAGCACGCGGGAGTTTGGTAGGGGAGGAGACGGGGCGGGCCCCGCCGCGGACCGGCCTCTCCCACTGCCTCGACTCTTCTACTTTCATTTTCTGCCCTCTGACAGCCATGGGCGGCAGCAGACTTCTGGACTTCCAGCTTCTGCTTCTTGTGAGTAAGACACTCGCTCTTCTTTGTCTTACGCAAGCCTTCGGGGGAACGTTTGGAGGGCTGGGCTGGGAAGCGCTCCCGGGACCGCAGGCTGCGGGCCCCCGCCAGGACGGCCCCGGGGCTGGGAGGCTTCCCTGAGTGTCCAAGGGATGCCACGGGGTCCCCCCCAGGACAGCCTGGATGGGGATGGGAGTTAGACTTTTGCGAGAGCTTCCCTAGCCCCGGGGGAGTGTGTAAATGCCCACTGCCTGCTGCGGCCATTCTCCGTGCCTGGGCTCGGGAGCCAGCGCTGTGGAGGTCGGGGAAAGCTGGGAAACTCCCCCATCTGCTCTGCACGTCTGGGACGTGGGTCTGGGGAAGGCGAGATAGAGGCTGCACCGGTTTGTGGGAGGGGTGGGGCTGGGGCTGACACACGAAACAGAAGGTGCCCGGCTGCGCTCACCAGGGAAGGGCACGAGAGCCGGCCCACGGCTAGCACGCCCTTACATGCCCATGGGCCAGGAGGACGAGGACTCGTTTCTGAGATGTTGACATCTCCTTGGTTCCGGGAAATCCGATTCCCCGAAGAACGCTTAGATCTTCCCGGTAGAAATCACTTGTTGACAGCCGTAGGCAGAACTGACAACGACTGACCTTCCTGGCCAGGAGCCAAGCGGAGCACGTAGACCGGGGGTCAGACACTTCCTTAGACTCGCCCTGCCTCCCAGGTGGGACCCTGAAGGCTGAGTACTCCGCCTGGCAGGTCGGGTTCCACCGCCCCTCCCCATCCCTCATCAGTCTTGTATTTCTTAAGCAGCTACAGTCCCGCTGTCATCTCCGTTTATCTAGCCTAAAGCTTGATTGTACACAGCCGTTCATACGATGTTTCGGGAATCGAGTGTAACCCGCCCCCTCCAGAGCAGAGGCTGGTTTTCTGCCTTTCTTTGTATCTCGAGTGGTTTAGGGCAATTCCTAACAAATAACAGGTGCTTAATAAAGCTTGAGGCATCTTAGGTGGCCCTGGGGGTGGAGTCCAGGCAGATCCTGGAGTCAGGAGGACTGGAGTTCAAATTCAGCCTCAGATGCTTATTAGCAGTGTGACCCTCGGCAGGTCACTTCACCCTGTTTGCCTCAGTTTCCTCATCTGTCCAATGAGTTGGAGAAGGAAATGGCAAATCACTCCAGTATCTCTGCCAAGAAAACCCCAAATGGGATCCCAAAGAGTAACAACAGCTGGATTGAGGCCCAGGCTGGGTGATGGGGTCACAAGGGGGAAGAATGAAGCAACCCCTACCTCAACTTGCATTCCAATTGGAGAGATAAGTTCATATACACATATATTGTTGTTATGTCAGGAGACAGATAATATAGATAGGTAATATTTAGAGATAGAGAGATCACATGTATGTATGTATGTATGTATGTATCTGTGTATGTTTCTGCAGCTATAAAGTTAATAAATACAAATAAATCCCAAGGAATTCAATACAGGCCCTAGTCCTGGATACACAAAGTAGGGCTGAGTAGAGATCTAGTAGGCACTTCATGGACACTTGATTGATTGCTGAGGGAAGCAAGGCACAGGAGTCAGCCCAAGTCTGGAAGTGGCCTTCGGGTTCCTTCAGCCCTGTCATTGTGCAAGGAAACAAACAGCTCCAGAGAGGGGGACTTGCCCATGGGTAATCCCACACGTAATAAGTGGCAGAGTCGGGATTTGAACCCAGGCCCTTTTACTCTGCTGCACTTCCGGGACAGCTCCTAGAACCCTGGAAGGAGGGAGGGAGGGAGGGAGGGAGAGAAAAAGGAAGGGAAGACTTATTAAATGCCTACTATTTGCCAGGCGCTGTACTAAGCACTTGAACCTCACAACAACCCTGGGAGGGTTATTCTCCCCATTTTACAGATGAGGAAACTGAGGCAAACAGAGTTGAAATGACTTTCCCAGAGTCACTCAGCTAGTAAGTGCCTAAGGCCAGGTTTGAACTTGAGTCTTCCCAAGGAGGAAATTGAGGCCCAGAGAGACAAGATTATAGAATCACAGATTCAAAGGTGGAAGGGACCTCTCCCAAGGCAGTGGGGCGCAATTCCCAGTTTTACAGGGGAGGAAACTGAAATACAGAAAGTACTTAGACTTGCCCAGAGCCACTGAGTTAATGAGTCTCTCAGGCAGGATTGGAACCTGGGTTTTCCCAATTCCAAGTCTAGTGGCTGTGCCACCGTGATGAACCCTCTCAAGGCAGGTAAAAGGGACTTGTTCAAAGCTATATGGCCGTGCTAAGTGTCAGGGTCAGATCCAAGCCCAGGGCAAGGCTGGCTTGTGGAAGAGGGAGGAGGTTGAACTGCAGCAGGTGGAGCCGCCTCTTCAAAGATCTGGCCTGTGGCAGTGAGTGATGCCTCCTTCGTGGCCCCAGGAGGCTAGAGCCAGGCACAATGGTTGGAAGTTGCCATGAGGTCAACTTTGTCTTGAGTATAAAGAACCTTCCTGACAGTGGAAGAGGGCAAGGCCTGCTTCAGAGGGAATGAGCTCCGCTGCCCTAGGGGCCTCCCCGGGAAGGCTGTGGGAAAGGAGGTGGCCACTGAGCTTCCCCGAGCTCTGAGGGTTGGGATGCTGGAGCTTATACTTAATACTCTTCCCACAACATCTCCTGGAGCACTGGGCCAGATCCGGAGAGGTTCCCCACAGCCACAGGCTTCCTGCTCAGCTGTCCTCAGCCTCAGGCTCTCTGCACCTGGTGGAGGAGCCCAAGCTGAGCGGGAATTTTGGCTAATCCACATGAAGCTAAGGAAAGACAAGGAAAGTCAGTGTGAAGGAGAGCAATAGATTGGGGGGCAGGGACCTGGTTCTAATCTTGGTGTTCTTCTGACTACCTATGTGATCCCAGTTAAGTCACTTTGCCTCTCTGGGCCTCAGTTTGCCCATCTGTAAAATGTGGGCATTGGCCTAGAAGGTCTCAGAATCTCTTCAGCTCTAAATCCTTCCAACTGTGTTCAAAAGAACACAAGCCTGTGTGTTTCTTCATGGGCTGCTGAAAGCCAGGGTAATATCATATCTTAGTAGTAGTAGTGGTACTGTTGGTAGTAGTAATACTAGTAGTAGCAGTAGAGCTGTAGTACCAGCAGCAGCAGCAGCAGCAGCAGCAGCAGCAGTAGCAGCAGTAGTAGTAGTAGTAGTAGTAGTAGTAGTAGTAGTAGTAGTAGTAAAGGTAATAATATAAGAATAGTAACAATAACACTAGTACTTTAAAGTTTGCAAAGCTCCTGACATACCTTATCTCATGCGGGTTTCAGAATGACCTAATGAGCTTGGAATTGCAGGGATTATTTTCCTCATTTTATAGATGAGGAAACTGAAGCCCAAGTGACCTGCCCACGGTCATCCTGATTCTCAGCCCAGCTCTCTCTCTGCTGCTTCTCCCTTTGCCTTTGGTGGGAAGATTTCATTGTGGCTCATTAGCAATGATGCATTATATGCTGAGGGCATTTGAGAAGGCTGCTGGTATCCTTACCCAAATTCCTCAGCTCCTCCCCTGGACAAAGAAGGGACCCTTCTCCTCCTGGTCATTGTGGCTTCTTAAAGTTCCTGTGGTCTCCTGAGAGCCAGACCCCTGTGAGGCAGGACAGGGCTGCTTTATGCTCTGGCCACAATGCCTGAGTGAAGCGTGTCCATGGGAGGACAGCCAGCAGTGCAAGCTGACAGGAGGCTGGGCCACAGGAGGCCCCTTGGAAGCGACTGGGGACACTTAGCCTAGAGAAGACAAGATTGGGGTGGGGTAGGGGATGGGAAAAGCTGTCTTTGAGTATTTGAAAGACTTTCACAGAAAAGCCGCATTGGGTATGTCGGTTCCAGGTCTGCAGGACCTCAGAGATGATCTATGTCACCCCCTTGTTTTACCCATGATAAAATTGAAACCCCCGGGGGGCAGCTAGGTGGTACAGTGGATAGAGCACTGGCCCTGGAGTCAGTAGTACCTGAGTTCCAATTTGACCTCAAACATGTAACACTTACTAGCTGTGTAACCTTGGGCAAGTCACTGAACCCCATTGCCTATCAAAAGCAAAAATAACTGAATAAATGAACTTGAAGCCTTAGGAGGGAAGGAACTTATCCTAGGTCACAGAGTGGAGCCAGGATTTGAACCAAGGTCTTTTGGCTCCCAACCCTTCCCCTTCCCCTTTCCTTGGGGGCTATGTCTCAGACAGGAGACCTGGGGAAGAGTTGTCAGCCTTAGGCTTAAGTTGAGGAAGAAACTTCCTAACCCTCAGAGAAATGTGCAAAAGGGGGATTTTGGGGTCGTGGGACCCCTTTGTTGGAGATCTCCAGACAGAAGCTGTACATTAGAGGGGGGAGCAGAGATGTGTGATTTCATTCTTTGAGGAACTCCCAGTGTGGATTCTGCCTCCACTGAGCCAGCTCAGTATCTTAGGCGCAGCTAAGAGTGCCCCACAGTGGCCCATGGCAGGAGGGAAGGAAGGAGGGAAGGAAGGAGAGAGGAGTGTTGATGAACTGCTTGCCATGTGCCAGGCACTGTCCTAGGAGGCTGGGGATACAAATACAAAAAGCAAGTCATTCCCTATCTTCAAGGAACTTATATTCTAATAATGAAACACAAGAGCTAGAGGGAAGTGGTGGTCAGCCCTGGTGGTGGCCAAGGAGGGGTGTTTTGGTCAAAGAAGCCATGGGGTTGGAGATTTGAGCCCCAGGCCACTGGATGTCCTCCTAGAAGCGGCAGTGGTGGTTTCCTGACTTTCCCAAGGCCGAGGGGGTAGGACACGTCCCTTGGGCACAATGGGATGGTAGTGGAGGGAAGAGAGCAGTGCGGTAGGAGGTGGCAGGGGTCTGGTCAGCTAGACATGGTGAACTCTCCCCAGCCAGGAGCCTCTTCAAGCCTGTGCAGTTCAGCCATCATTCAACTGTGGGAAACTGGGTCGAATGTCCAATATGATACAGTATTTAGTGGCAGTGCTGGATCGTGACCACCCAGTGGTTCCTGCTGCTCACACACACACACACACACACACAC